AATGGTGATAATTCATAGGTCAGTCCTTGTGGGAAGTGAACCAGCAACTTTCCCGATAGCAGCTCTGAGCTCTGACCACAACACTAAACCACACCAGACCGCAAGCCCTTTGGAAAACACTTCAGATTGATAAAAACACCAAAACAGCTGGTCTCTCTGGAGCACAGAGCTGGATAAAACAACCTGGAATTAATCCAAACTCAAAACCACTACTCACAGATAAATGCTGTTTAAAGGGTTAAATCACCACTTTCTCATCCTCATGTTGTTCCAAACCATCCTCCAAGATTAACTTTCTTCACAGAAACACAAAAGGAGCTGTTGTACGACATTCAATGACTAAACTAAATATTAAGGGTCTATGAAGCTCTTTAGAAAAGACAATGCAAAGCTTATCATACTTATCATACTATTAATTACCATCCGATTTCATTGTATGACAAAGAGCAATGTTCTGTTGCAGAAGAAATCAATAAATATATAATAATCTTTTTTTACCGCAGGCCGATGGTGTTTGTACCTAACGGTTCAACACGTGAGTGTCTGAAGCCTCTTGCAGTGAAGCGTTTTAGACTCCATCGCATCATTGTGGTGACTGGCAACTTGCATCCAGACAAATTTCTGACAGCAGCTCTGTATGACACATAAATAATAGCCAAAAACAATGTTTTTCAGTGCAACACAACAATAGCAGTGCTTGTTGACAATAAAATGTGTTATTCTACAAGCTTGGCACTGAAAGAAATGCATGCATTTAGGAGAATATGGAAATTCATGCATTTAGGAGAATATGGAAATTCATGCATTTAGGGAAATATCGAAGTGCATGCATTTAGGATAATATTGAAATTCATGCATTTAGGAGAATATCGAAGTTCATGCATTTAGGAACATATCGAAATTCATGCATTTAGGGAAATATCGAAGTGCATGCATTTAGGAGAATATTGAAATTCGTGCATTTAGGAACATATAGAAATTTGTGCATTTAGGGAAATATCGAAGTGCATGCATTTGGGAGAATATCGAAATTCATGCATTTAGGAGAATATTGAAATTCATGCATTTAGGAGAATATTGAAATTCATGCATTTAGGAGAATATTGAAATTCATGCATTTAGGGAAATATCGAAGTGCATGAATTTAGGAGAATATTGAAATTCATGCATTTAGGGAAATATCGAAGTGCATGCATTTAGGAGAATAGTGAAGGCTACTTGTAATATGTGCATTTTATTTGTAACCAAAACACAAGTAGATTCTTTTTAAAGATGCCAGACAGGTTTAATCCTATCAAAATTTAAATGAACCCAGTATGTGTATTCCTGGGAATCAAACCGGCATTTGTAAACTATTAAAAGAATGATGGGAATCAAAGCAAAAAATTACAAAACTACAAAGTGAATCTGATAACTTGTGGGATTTTTTTCCCCCTTTCATGCTCCAATAGAAGCATCACATCTGTGCATCAAAGGTGCGCTCAGGAAAAGCAATGCAATGTCTGGATCTGACAAACCCGTACACACACCTCTGGTACTCGGTGTGTGTTAAAAGGATCTGAACAGGACTATAATTGAGGTGTAATTAACTGGTGAGAGTGTCTGTGCTATCCGTGTTCTGTGGTGTGATTTGCCTTTTGGGAAAATAACTATTTCAAGTCTGAACCCCCTGCACGGTGAGAAAGCCACATCTGACATCTTACAGCGCACACCGCCGATAGAACAGAGAGATGTGCTGTCATTTTTAGATAGACTTATGTATATGAGCAAGTTTCTGGGTACAGCTGTTAAGACACACACTGAGAAAACTTAACCAAACAAACATAAATATATCAAATGAGCCTTTACAAGACATGACAAGCAGCCATCAGATCATTAGAGAGGGGATTGAGGTTAAAGCAATCTGTTAATGACTGGATGAGCTTCCTGAAGCCTTAAAAATTAAACACTTTTGTTTATGCACTAAGCAGGTGTTTCACCTCAAATTGACAATAAAAAGCACAAATCACGTTATGTGGAAATTACGATGAAAGAGTGGAGAAAATACACAGCATGTGCTCAGATAGGCCCCAAATGACAAGAAGAAAGCCAAAAAACACAACAAATAACAAGCAATATTGGCAAATGCATTGAATTATAAATCGAGCTGCTGCTAAACTAATATTACATCAGACTGACAATGCACAAACAAACACAGCCATACATAATATGACGTTATGCATGACTTTGACAATGAAATCGCAATGCAATAAACTCAGGTTTTAAGAAATCATTCATAATTAGCATAATAATATCTAAAGTATTATGCATTAATTTCTTATTCAAAATGCAATGCCTGCATGGCACAATGAATGTAAAACCTGGTCTGCTGTTTTTGACAATATTTACTACGGTGTAAAATATCCCTCCAGCTACAATTGCATGTAATTATTTTTTTTAGTAAATATGCTGATTCTGAGGACTCAAATGTGGAGGATAACCAAAATAATCAAATCTAGTTTGATCAAACCCAGTCAAATTTCTGATTCTACGATGCATAATTTAGTGAAGAATCATAATTGAATGATTGTCAGGGCATATATTTACACCCTTTTTAATCGCTACACAAGAGTTCCTAACGAGCACAGGGTATTTATAGTGCAAGAACAGAGCTGATGAAGGTCCCAGAGTGCAGCTGTCTTAACACTCACTCTAAAAATGGCCGTTGATTGATATGCAGGCATTAGAAACTGGGTTTTGATGGATGGATTTCTGGGATCACGTGACAGACTCGAGGACCAGGCCTATGCTTAGTCTGAATAACAGAAGCTGTCTAAATCTGTCCTCTCTATTGATTACCAGCATGAAGTCTGTCTCAGTTTGCAGTCTTTTGCTGCTCTCTAGTGTTGTTTATGAGTAATTGATTTGGACCAGCAAATTTCTCTCAAACTAGTTAGGAAAGAAAGTGTCCCCGCTTAAATCGGCACATTGTTAAAAATGTGATTACTTAGGCTATACACATAAAACATCAAAACCATAGCACAGCATAAAAACTTGTGGTTTTATCACCCTTACCAATAGTAGCCTACTGAAGCACTACAGTACAGCGATGGTAATATACCATGGTACTCCAATAGGCCTATATATAGCATGGTATTGCTGTACTTATAGGCCTATAGCTATTAGTTATGGTATTAACATGCTGTTTCAATGAATGTCATGGTATGTTCAAAACATGGCAATATTATGGTAATTTTATAAGTAGGCTACTATAAAACATACTTACATTATGACATAAGGTTGCTGTCCGCTTCATAATCTTGAGGAGAAAGTGGTTTAACTGACGATAAGCGAGCAGAGCCGTTATATTTTTTCCCGCTCATCAAGAATTTAAAATATCTTGGGGAGAAAGTGGTTTAACTGACGATACGCGAGCAGAGCCGTTATATTTTTTCCCGCTCATCAAGAATTTAAAATATCTTGGGGAGAAAGTGGTTTAACTGACGATACGCGAGCAGAGCCGTTATATTTTTTCCCGCTCATCAAGAATTTAAAATATCTTGGGGAGAAAGTGGTTTAACTGACGATACGCGAGCAGAGCCGTTATATTTTTTCCCGCTCATCAAGAATTTAAAATATCTTGGGGAGAAAGTGGTTTAACTGACGATACGCGAGCAGAGCCGTTATATTTTTTCCCGCTCATCAAGAATTTAAAATATCTTGGGGAGAAAGTGGTTTAACTGACGATACGCGAGCAGAGCCGTTATATTTTTTCCCGCTCATCAAGAATTTAAAATGATTCGGGTGGGGGGAGGGGGCGGGTAATGGAGATGTAAAGCAGAAGATCAACATTAAAATAGGTTAATTATCATATGTACCTGCTGGTAGTTAATATGATATTAATGTTGTCTGATAGTATCCCGAATACATTTTGAAGCTCGATTTGGATCCTCACGTGATCATCACATGTCTGCGGTGATTGGATGAGCCGATACCCTGTTGTGGCATTGCAGGTGTAATTTGAAAACAGCTCATTAACAACTAATTAACGCGTTTTTGACCGTGTTTGCTACGCTATGTGAGTCGAACTGAAGAGAGGAAAGACAGTGCAGGTCAGATTTGAATATTAGCAAAAATTTTAGATATGCATGGAAGGGACATTAGCAAGCTAGTGAGCATTGAGTAGGCCTATCATTGTTTATATACTAAAGTGCATCACTGAACAGTTTTGTTGTAAGACACACCTGAAAGAGGATTTCATTACTCTTACAAGCTCGATTTGGATCCTCACGTGATCATCACATGTCTGCGGTGATTGGATGAGCCGATACCCTGTTGTGGCATCGCAGGTGTAATTTGAAAACAGCTCATTAACAACTAATTAACGCGTTTTTGACCGTGTTTGCTACGCTATGTGAGTCGAACTGAAGAGAGGAAAGACAGTGCAGGTCAGATTTGAATATTAGCAAAAATTTTAGATATGCATGGAAGGGACATTAGCAAGCTAACATTAACAATTGTATACAGTGAGCATTGAGTAGGCCTATCATTGTTTATATACTAAAGTGCATCACTGAACAGTTTTGTTGTAAGACACACCTGAAAGAGGATTTCATTACTCTTAAAATTATAGATATCGATTGTTGAACAATACTACATGGGAACATTTTCAGTTGTTGAAATAAGTCGATGCTAGGACATACAGTTACATATTAAGTGTGAGTTTTTCAAAGTTATAAGTGAGAGAAGTATTATGCCTAATTATGTACTTTACAAATACTAAAAAAAATTCACCTTAAAGCTTATTTTGGTCTAAAGTACCAGCTGTTGAAAAAACCAGCATATGCTGGTTAGGTATGTTTTGACGCTGGGATGCTGGTTTAAGCTGGTCCTTTGCTGGTTTAAGCTGGTCCTTTGCTGGTTTAAGCTGGTCCTTTGCTGGTTTAAATATTGCGCTTGTAAAGAACTTTTGATTCTCTGTTTGGACAAGCAAAACTAAAAAAACAAAAAAAACAAAATGTTTTTAACTAATTTTTAAAAAAACATCATTACTTACACCTCCTGCAAATGTAAAGAATTGAAAATCTAAAGGATGCCATGGTTTGTCATTTGGAAAGTCGTTTACAGGATTCATCTGGGAGGAAAAGACAGAAAAATATTTAAAATGACAGTGAAAAACATTTTCATACATTTTATGACTTAAAATGTTTTTATTAATGGTTTTTTTTTAACGAGAGAGAGAGAGAGCGAGAGAGAGAGAGAGAGAGAGAGAGAGATGTGGACCAGGATGGAAGAACACCTATTTTCCCAGAATGCATTATATGTATTGGATTTCTTTGAATAATAATTCAGTAATAATTTCCACTTTCTCTCATTCCAGTTCCGCTTCTTGTGTGTTGAGGCCAATTCAATTCTGATTCTTTCATCAATTGAAAGGCAGTCAGTTCTTCAATTCTGAATTTTGCACAACCCTAAACTGCAGGTAATGTACAATTTTATTTCATATAATTATCATAGCAGCACGTAATACAATTGCTATTTTAAAGGAAGTTCACCCAAAATTTGCTGAAAATTGCACTGGAAGAAGCATTATTATGGACTCCTATTTTAGCCAGAAGCAACATCTTAATGATGGATTTGTTGTTGTTTTTTTGTCTTCTCCAGATGTTAACTGATGGACTGGAGTGGTGTGGATTATTGTGATGTTTTTATCAGCTGTCTGGACTCTCATTCTGTCGGCACCCATTCACTGCAGAGCATCCATTGCTGAGACACTGATGCAATGCTACATTTATCCAAATCTGATGAAGAAACAAACTCCTCTACATCTTGGATGGCCTGAGTGTGAGTAAATTTAACTAATTTAAATTTTTGTGTGAACTATCCCTTTAAGAGCAGTGCAAGCAAAAACACTGAAAGTAAAAATAAATGTAAGCTTTATATTTACATCGTAAAGCACACATGTATAGACAAACATGCATGTTCTCCAAGCTCTCTAATACTAGAGTTTACACACACACACACACACACGCGACATCTAACAAAGTATTGAGATGAAATTTTGTTATTGACCAAATACTTATTTTCCACCATAATTTGCAAATAAATTCTTTAAAAATCCTACAATGTGATTTTCTGGATTTTTTTTCCTCATTTTGTCTCTCATAGGTGAGGTATACCTGTGATATAAATTACAGGCCTCTCTCATCTTTTTAAGTGGGAGAACTTGCACAATTGGTGGCTGACTAAATACTTTTTTTCCCCACTGTACTTGTAGACATTCAGCAGAATTTAAAATGCATTTAAAAAATACATCGCTGTTATTTCTTCATCCAACCTCATGCAACTAGTGCACTTTCAGTGTCAATGTAGCTTATGCCTCATGTCCTGTTTGACTTTATCAGAAATGTAAATTATTAACAGAATTCTAAATCTGTCGTTCATTAATTTGCCACAGAATTACCTAAAGAGTTTATTCACAATGTTGTTAAGTCCTTTGTTGGTTTGCTTATATTTTGATGTAATTTGAAGCCACTGACCCACTTTTAGGAATCGAATCCTTCCTGCGCTCTCATTCATGCCACTGTGAGACACAAACGGTGCGCTCTCCTCCTCCTCGTCTTCCTCCTGTCCCTCGGCCTCCTGCTCATCCCTCCCGCCGTCCTCCGGCCCGGGGTGAGGAGAGGAAGGGAGGGATGCTAGCGCACAGTCTTCTGAAGGGTACTCACAAACTCTCTCCAGCTGAGCGTCATCGAAACACACCTTCACCTAAACCAGAGGAAAGAGTGACAGAGCAGTCAGTAAAGACACATTACAGTACAGTCTGGAAAATCCAAGTCATCATGCTAAAAAAGAGTTCGGAAAGACTAAAACGTTTATTTGGCCTAACATCAGCTTTTGTTTTCCACAGAAGAAAGTCTTACGGGTTTGGAACAGCATGAGGGTGAGTGACTGATTTTGGCTGAACTAATGTGTAAATGCATACACCGTTAAAAAAGATTTTTACAGTGCTGTAATTTAAATAAAAATGATTGGAGTATGTTTGACAAGAAAATACTATTTCAGTTTTTCTACGGAACAGTTTTAAGTTTAATTCAGCATGATTCAAAGAAAATCCTGCACCAATTTATTTTTATTTTTTTCAGCATACATAAGCAGTGTCGGGTTAATAATTCTAAAAAAAAAAAAAAAGGAATTAATTACTAGCTACTAATAATTTCATCTTCAAAATGTAATTAGATTGCTGTACTAATGACTCTCTCTCTCTGAAACTTCAACCAGTTGAACAATACAAACATAGACATGAAACTGCTCTTTTAATTCCTTCAAATAAATAATAGAAAATCGTATAAATTATTATTGAACTGACTGAAGTATTTAAAGGGAGAAGGTTACATTAAAACATATATTTTAACATTAGCTGTTAAATTTGATGTTAAACCCACTATCGTTTTATATAGAATTGTTCTAGACTACACAGTATTTTATGCAATTACATCAGAAGTAACTAATTAAATTACAGGGAAATTACAAGTAATCCCTTACTTTTTCAAGGGCAAAGTAATTAAATTACAGTAATAATTAAAAGTAATGCTTTCCACGCAACACTGGTCATAAGACATAATTTCAGAGATGTTTTTGACTGGCATAGAGTTTCTTAAAATGTCTAAATGTTAGAGCAGGACAGACATCATGTTAAAAGTTTAAACCATTTCCCTAAAAATATCTTAAATCGAAGCAGAAAATCTTAAATTCATGAGGTCATGACATTAAATGTTGCATGCATTGCAAAAATGATTATATCTTACATTTGTCTTCAGTGCAAATATCAAAACTTCCTCAAGTCGAGATACATTTACTTGAGATGCACAATGAAGATTTGAAGTCTTCTGAGAAACTGGTCAAAATTAAGAGAGTTTATGCATAAAACAAGAATATCTGCCAAGAAAAAAAAAAACTTAAGAAAAATACATTTGTTTTTTCTTTAAAAGGCCGTTTTTCTGATCTCATCGGTAGATATTTGTTGTTGTTTTAATCAAACTCACTTCATGTTGATCAATTTCTTTGTGTCCCTTCCATTTTCTTTTAATTGGTCTTAAAGTCTTATATTTACAGAAATGGCATTTTGTTAGGAATTTATCAGACGGTAGCCATTTAACAACTGTTATATCCAAAGCAACTTGTACTGCAAAGGTGACATTTTTTTTTACTGCTGGTCAGAAGCGCTTTAATGCATTTGCACAGCAATTAGGAATACACTTATTGTATTAACCCTTAACTTGGTTGTGTAAAGATGCTTTTTTTAGCAGTGCACTTCAATCCATAATCGACTTGAAATCACCTGCCGTTAACCCTATAAAATTACTGTATCTTATTTGATACAAGGCATCCAAATGATCAACACGATCAAAACTTTGCTGTTAAACCTGTTGCACACAATCTACTACATGCCTTCTGTCTTCTTTACTTTAATAAGCAAAAGCTCTTTTGGTATAATTGTACAAACGTCCGCCTCCAGCTTGTGCTTCACATGTCTTTTTGCTGTCAATTTTTTTGACTTGATTTTTCTCAAGTAAGCATCAGAATAACTGCAGTAATATCTCCAGATGAACACTTACTGGACTGAAGCAGCTCAGCTTTACTTGATTCTCCATCAATCATGTTTTAGAGTCTCAAATCTGATCCTCAGGATCTTTTGAGGAGCGTTTGTTTCCAGAAGCTTTACTTTCACTGTTCCTCAGCGGAGGAATGATCTTCACAAGCCTCCAGAACATCTCACATCTTCTGAGGAGCCTTTATTTCTTCAGCTCTCAATCACTGCATTATATGTTTGGAGCATTTCAATCTCATTTTACTGAGACCGATTACTGATATTTACATAATTTTATGTCAGTATCTGCCATACTGTTATAAAGATCTCATTGTTATACATTACAATCATCAGAATATCATCATATTAATATCATATAAAACACATATGCCAACATACTTTTTAGATTAAAAAAAAAAAGGTTCAATGAAATGCTTGCATTTCAAAGCATTAGATTTTTTGACTAATTTCATATGTCAGGCTTTTCAGGGTTAATGCTGATAGCTTCAAAACAAACACAGTGGACATGCAGTAATACAGAGAAAAAAGCAGCACTATAATGGCTTAAGGTTCAAATGAGGAAAGTGTAGAGTCACCCCTTGTGGTGGTGAAGCTGGTGAAGAGACTGAAGTCAATCGTTCTGCAGGGTGCATGCGGTAATACAGCCACACTACCATACTTTTGTTGTTGTACGAAGCATGGGAACGGTACAAGATTTTCTGTATGCATGCGCAGGTGGTCTTCTAGATTCAACATAACGTTTAGCACACAGCCAGAGCAGTGTGTAAAATACTGATCCTCAAAGTCAGTCTAAACAACAGGCCAGATGAGCCCAGTCCCAGTCATAAAACTGTCTCCAAAGACAGTCAACAAGCGTGAGCTGTAAGGCGAATGAAGGTTAGATGTGGTCAGAGTGTAAACCGGGGTAATGACTCTTGGCGCAAATGCAATTTCACACACACGCTGTTAAATGTAACGCATGTACACATGATACTGTCGGTCATACAGTATGGACGGAAATTTTTATAAACCGATAACCCTAGGTTGCTCTTGGTTTTATGCATTCTCTTCTGTATGTGCTACAGGAAGTGACACAGCTCAGAGGAGGAAGTAGCCAAAGAGTTATCACAAGACTGCTTTAAAAACCCCTGTAGAATATATAAAACACATGTAGCTTGTAAAAAAAACAACAAAAAAAACATGTATTTTCATGCTATGCTCTGCTTTTAATGTCTTGTTTTTTATCACTTTAATTGGAAAAAATATTTATTATTTACACTACTATTAAAATATTTGGAAAAATAATTTTTTGTTTTTTATAGAAACTTTTTTTTTTATCAGCTGAAACTCTTTAATCTAAAATATTTCCGTATAGTACCCCTGACATTTTACATGAATATTTCAATTGTTTACCAAATTATTCACTTGCTCACAGTTCTGTGATGCTGGTTGGTCATGTCATCAAGGTAAACAAATAAAATATATATATATATATATATATGTATATTTAGTAAGTGATTTTATTTTGTATTTTTAAAAAAATATATGTTTTACTAATGATTTAATTATTAAAATTCCATGAACTCTTATTTTAATTTTAATAATTCTTATTTTAATATAACTATTAAAATTTCATCAACTTTATGTATTTCCCCTACAAATCCCGGTTTAAGGAAGAAACGCTTTGCCAGATAATATACTGTAGTTCATTGCCATAAATGGCCTAAATTTATGCTAATGTAGTGAGTTTAAGTGAAGTTGCAAAATACAGATGCAGCTACGACTGCATGCTATAAACTAAAATACATAAAGTAACACAACTATGTCATTTATAAAAATGAATGCTTTCTCCACCATCGTAGATGCTTGTGGTCCTCTGTCTCAAGAGTCCGATTTCATTGTTGTCTTCCCTTCATGTGCATTTGACTCCAGTTCCTGGCAGAAGTTAGTGTATGTGGTTACACTGATCGCCACAATGCAAACATACTGCTCTATTAACTCCCTGTGAAAACCCAGCTAAATTAAAAGGTCATTCTTCTGTTCCTAGGAGAATGCTGCCAAATTCTCTCGTCCCCTCTTTCTGCTCTGCTGAGTTCCTTTGTGTTTGCTGTGTCCCACTTACTACAATAAGCTGTGTTTGATGAGAACAAGCAGTGCCATTAAACCTCATATCGGAAGACAGGAGCAGGACCATATCTCTCTCTCTGAGTAGTTGCTGATAGGTGAGATACAGAGGTTTCCAGAAGTGAAAGTTTCCAGCATTGTGTGGTAGTATTTTTTGCAGCTCTAGGGGAGGAACTACAAAGCTGTTGAGAGGAAGCCAAGCATTCAGTAGTATATCATGTGTACCAGCCACTGACATATCCTGCAATCAGATGCCATCATAAATGACTTGTGGTCACATCAGTGTTCTCTCTGTACTGTAATTCCCCCTATAGTGTAACCTAAGAATAAAAATAAGACATGACTGAAAGTAATGATGATGTGCAGTTCAGTGAGTCCGATGCCCATTAAGCAAACCCTGTGGTTAATTCAGTGAAGGATTTGTTAAACTGATAGTTCCAGAGTTTGTCTTTTGTAAGAATCAGACTGCATTGGTCATGCTTTAGGTTTGTTTTGCGTGAAAACAGCATAGACAATCCAATAGAATAACATGTTTCTTCATGCTTGTGGAGATGTAGAGTGTATATAGTGTTCTGTAAACATCCTGACACTGTTATGCTCGTTAACAATCTTCTGTAGACTTAAAACTACATAATGCTCTGCCTTGGGTCATTCTAGACTAACAAACATCGAGGTCAGACAGGACAGTGTCAGGGTGAAAGGTACTGAAGAAGGTATGACTGCAATAGATTAACCCCAATCTATTCATAGACTTGCATTCTACTTCAAAGTCAGGCATTTAGTGTAATGGACTTTTTTTGGTGTAAGTTTAATTACTCCTGAACAATGCACAATGAATCAGGTGTTTCCTAAAGTCATTTTCCAATTTTTCTTTTTTCATGCAGCGTTTAAATGTGTAAACTCACACAGGGACCATCTTCACCTGTGGACTGTGATGGCGTGAGAGATAAGCCTAATCCAGGTTTAATGCTGAGCAACTGCTTTGGCCACAATCAAAGACGGCAGAGATATTCTGGCCTGACTACTGAGAGATCACACTCTGATTCGCTCTTAGGAATCTACTCGAGTGCAACGGTCTCTTCTCTGAAATAAAAAAAAAATCTGACTAAACCGTAACCATACATCTAAAACATTGCAAAATGCTAGTTGCAAATAATTTTCATTGCATATCCCATTTTAGCATGCTCAGTTTGTATTGCCCTAATACTGTGTGCGCACAGCAGCGCATCGTATAGGTCATGCAAAAATACAAAAACCCACTCACCGCTTTCAGTGTCCCTTTGCTTTTCACCAAGCATGACCGTTCAAGGTTCTGGTAGCCTCCAATCACCTCAATCTCTTCTGCTGTAGGATACCGTTTCTTCCCTGCCTCCTTGGTGCTGCTGGGAGCAGGGGTGGTTATATGGCCCTGGGGGGCCGCTTTGGGCACTGCAGGGGTCACTGTTGGGAGGCCACCAGACGAGGCTGCCCCTGCAGGTCTTCTAGGGGTGATTGTGATGGTCGTTCCTCTCTTACCTGGTCCACCTGAGGCACTCCTAATGGAAAAGAGAGGCGGAGATGGAGATGAAGAGGGGGATGCGGTGCAGGGAGAGGATGATGATGGAGAGTTTTGTTCTGGAGGTTTCTGAGAGTTTTCTGTTGATTCTGTGTTCCGGGCGTTGATTGTGAATGACCTGACCTGTTGGGGTTTAGGGGGTTGTCTTTGGGCTTTCTGTTGGGCTTGTGGAAATCTGGGACTTGTAGGTGTTTGGGATTTCTGCGTCTCTCTTAGTATGTCTGGTTTCTTCTGGCCCTCAGCTACCCTAATTTCTGGTTCTACAAGCGGACAACTTTCCATGGTGGGCTGTGCCTTTTTGTCGTTGTGGGAACCACATCCTGCTTCCTGTTCTCTCAGCTGTAGTCGTTCCACCTGCCGCTGTACCATCTGAGCACCTGTCGACTCTATCGTCTCGGTTTTGTCACCATCCCTTCCATGGTTCCACAGCTTAGCAGTTTCTGGCAGGATGTCCGGTGATGGTGCTTGTCTAATGAGGTTGTATTTACCCTGAGGTCCGCTGTGTGGGGGCATATCAGCTTTCCTTTCACTAATACATACTGTAGTCCTAGACCCCACTGTCTTGAGGTTATAGATCCGGCTCATGGCGTCCAATGAGTCTGAAAGTGGTGGGGAGGGAGAAAGAGAGGGAGGAAGGTACTCTTTCTCTAACAGTTCTTCCTCTCTTTCCTCTTCTCTTTCGTCAACGTCCTGTGTTCTCCAAACGATGCACGTCCCACGCTCCTCTACATCTCTCTCTGCTTCCCTCGGGCAGATATCTCTCTCTGATACGTCTCTGGAGATCTCCCCAACTTCTCTTCCTGTCGAAACTGACTGCAAGAGCGACAGAGAAACAGGAACAGGAAGTTGAGGGCTTGACTTTGCCATACTAACGTCCTGTGTGACGTCAAACAGTCTGAGAGTCTGTAAAGTTGTTTCTTCCTGTTCTCTCACAGTTCCTCCTGCTTCTCTGCTGCCCTCTTCTTTGTCATCATCACGTCTTTCCTTCTCTTGCTGACGAATACTCTCTCTCAGAGACTCCACTCGGGTCAGAGATTGCCCAGACTTCCAGCTCCCTCTCCTCTCCACTTGTCCTCCATCTTGTTTATCCCCAGAAGGGAGACTCACCCTCCTTCTTTCTGCTGATATATCGACTCCATAAAATATAGTCCTGGGAATGGTGACTCTCTCTTGGGTGCAGAGTTTGTTTTGGCCCAGTGTAAAAGTTTGTTGTGGGGGTTCTGAGGTAAAATGTATTTCCTCAGTTGCTTGTTTTGGAAAGCTTTGATACTGTTGATGCTCTTTTTGATCCTGGTTGCCCATTTCACCAGAGATCCTTGTCTCCATGTCTCCATGTGAAAACATATACCCTGCCCTCTTGAGTTCTCTGTCTGATTGGACTTTTGCTATTTTACAGACTAGGTCTTCTGTGTGTTGGGTAAGGACCACTTGTCCAGCATAGGCTGTAGTTGGGCAACTAGAGTACGCAGAGGTAGTGTCAACACATTGGCACTGCATTTCTTCAGGGAAATCTATAGTACTGTCATCCGAGGGTGGGATATATATGCCATGGGGTTGTTTTGAAACCGCAATGGATAACTCATCCTGATTCCATCTCCTTTCAGATTCTGTTTTGTCCTTGGGTTCGAGTTCTATGGGTCTCTGTCTTACCGCCGTTTCTCTTTCCACTCGCCCTTTATCTCTGTGTATCTCTTTATCTATCATTATCTCCCTCTCATTCTCCTCTCTCACTTTCTTAATCTCTCGTTCTGAGCTGCTTTCTCTCCCATCGTGTTTGATAGGAACTCGTCGTGCAAACGCAAGTCCCTCAGGGATTTTGACGGAGGCCACAGTGAAGCCTTCTCCGTCTAAACTAGATGTCCATTCCTCTGTCTCTCCACGAACTGAGTCGTTCCTCTTATTTTCCACCCTTCTTTCTTTTAGTCTATTTTCATGCATCACTTCATCAGGTTTGGGTTGACTCCATCGCCCGGAGACCTTTGGTTCACTTCCTGATTGATCGGTGACCCTTGTTTTGACCCTCTCCACCACCTTAAAATCTGTCTTTTCCTCACAATCTCTGGCCTCCTGTTGGCAAACCACACGGTCAGAGAAGCTAAAGGAGCGTTTGGGTGCACCCCTGAATGTCGGACTCGTGTCCGTCTCCTCCATACTCTGGTCCTCCTGTACAAACAGGTCTCCTGTGCTGTATCTGGCCCGGTTCTTGCCTGGTTGGTTGAAGCCCTCAATGCTCTTGGAGCGCATTGGAGGTTTTGGGTGTTCACCGAATTTACTAAGCAGCTGACTGACCCGACCACTACACTCTGGAGTCCCCCTTTCCTTGTGGTTCAAGACTCTCTCTGCTTTTTGCATGACTGTCCTCGATGTCATTCGCATAGAGGACCATATCCCCTCTTTCTCTAAACGCTCACTTCCTCTTTCTGTGATCCCTGCCGTTTTTGTTTCCCTTCTCCCGTCTGTCATGGGAGGTTTGATGATCAGTACTTCTGAAGCCCTAATTTCCGTGACGCTTCCTCCGCCAGCTAGAAACTCCCTCAAATCCATCCTCATCCTTTTCTGTTCCTCCTCAACCTCCTTTTCTCCCTTATCCAGTTTTTCCTTACTATTTTTGTATTTCTCAATAATGATAATATTGTTTGCCTGGATCGTGCGAAGACCTACGACCGGAGAAAATAGGGATGCGCTACTGTCTGCCTCCCAGCTTTCTCTCCCAGTGCTTCTGTCTCGCTCTCTTCCCTCACTTTTACTTCCCATCTTCTCGACCCACATCTCTCTATCGTGTCCTCTCCAAATCTCCTTCTCCGTTTCTTTATTTTTTTCTCTCCCTCTATTATTGGTGGCCATTTTATATTCATTCTCTCCATCTCTAATCACCTCCTTCCCTCTGTTATCTCTCTTAAAGCTGTTCTCAGAACGAATGAAGGGGCTCTGTTGGATGGGGCTGATGATTTCTTTGGATATCTGTTTTTGCATTTTGTGGTCAGTCTGGAGGTGAAGTGTGAATTTACTGTCCACCTGCTCCGGGACGATGTCCTCCGTAATGCCCAGGATATCTGGAGTATGCTGTCCTCCATCTCTCTCTTTCTCCCTCTCTCTTTCCTCATCCTGCTTCGCCCTCCTTCTCTGGATGATCCCTCGCTTCCAAGCCGGCATGCTGGCAAGCCGCTCCTCTTCCTCCCTCTCTCGCCTCTCTCTCTCCTCCTCCTCTCTTCGCTTTCGCTCCAGTAGCAGCTGCTTCCATTCCGGTAAAGCAGAGAGAGACATAACCACGGAGTACTCGATGAAACAGTGCTGTTTTACTAATCAGAACTTTTGCAGAAATGCAGTTTTATCCAAGGACATCCAGGAATCCTGTCAAAACAAATTGATGTATACATTAGCTGTTGTATTTTTTTTTTATGTGTTAAACATGCAGTTAACAGTGCAAAACTACTGTCAGAATAAACACTGATGCTCTTACAGGTATATTTAAAACTGATATGCCGACTTTGTCGGATAAACTGTCTTATATCAGCAATATCGGTACACTGACTGGTCACTTTTTTGTGCAACATTAAGCAACATTTAGCTTTTTATTTCAGGTCACTGTGATGTCAAATTAATTTGAAAAGCACCAGAGGTGTCAAGTAACGAAGTACAAATACTTCGTTACCTTACTTAAGTAGAAATTTTGGGTATCTATACTTTACTGGAGTAATTCTTTTTCAGCCTACTTTTTACTTCTACTCCTTACATTTTCACGCAATTATCTGTACTTTCTACTCCTTACATTTTAAAAATAGCCTCGTTACTCCTATTTCATTTCGGCTTGTTTTCATTCCGCCTGGTCATCGTTCAAAAAAACAACAAAAAACTATCCAGATAAATCGCGCCATCCGGATAGAGTGAATTTGATTGTGGTTGGATGAGAAGTATAAACATATACCATTCCGACACCCTATTGGTTTGTACGCTATCCATCGCACCTGCACATGACACAAAAATCACGTCACACTCCAGCAAGTACATAGCCAGTGTTGGGGTCGTTACTCAAAGATTATTTCTTAAAAATTATTATTTCTCCACTACTGGCTCATTTATCAAACGGGTGCTTTCACTTCGTCCTCCGCAAATTAAGCTACAGTAGGTAGTTCGGTAGAGAGACGTTTGAATAAATTAGCGTTTGCGATTGACAATGTTGTGATAAGTAGGCTATACTAACTTTGTAACTCGTTACCCCCAACACTGGACATAGCAGACGTATGTAGTACGAAGATGTCCATGGCAGAGACTCAAGAAATTTCGAGCGAAATGTCCCAACCAAGCACCAGCGAGGAGGTTGGTAGCCAGGAAGACCAGCCAACCCTTATACATCCCTGGCCGTACCTGGAAGAATTTTTCGAAATGGTTGGATGCAAAAATAACTCTTTTCGAATGCGCTGCAAGCTCTGCGCACCCAAGTACCACGAGCTTATGGCTTTCAAAAACTCGCCGTCTAATTTGAAAAAGCATATTGAGGTAAGCTGACATTTTGTTATTATCAGTCGATTATTCACAAATTTGAAATTCGACTTTAACCAAATGTTATCTGAGCTTATATTATTGCTATATGCAATATTTGTAGGTTAATTGTGCAAAGCTATAGTTTTTGTTTTTCTTATTATCAGTCGATTATTGACTATTGTAGTGACCTAGTAACATACTAATAATGGTAAATTTGCAATGTTTGCTATGGCTAGGTACATGCCAAGACATGCCATGGTTTGCTTGCTAGCAGTAGGCTATGATTCAACGTTGCAAACTCGTTTGGTGGGCTCTGTGTGAGATTTGAAATTCGACTTTAACCAAATGTTATCTGAGCTGATATTATTACTATATGCAATATTTGTAAGTTAATTGTGCAAAGCTATAGTCTACAGCTGGTTGATAAAGCATGTACTAAGGATAGTCATGATCCTGTCTGTGTATGAGAGTGTGCGCGCCTGTGTGGGGCAGGCCCTATGGGTCCTTGTAAAGAGGTAATAGGCCCAACTATCAGCCAAATGCTGTTTAAAATTAATTTAATGCTACTTTTCAGTCATGCCAGCAGCTGCTTGTGGTCCTAAAACAGCTTTAAGTGGCAATATTCTGGTCTGCTCAACATAATTGCATAGACCAGTGAAACTGCTCCCTAACTTGTAGTCTGACCTTCATTCGTGAACTTCAAGCATGACAGTAATACAGCAGAAGTCCTAGATAGTCTGAGCTTGTGATTTGAAAGAAATAACATGAATCTCAATCTGTGCCTGTGCATTCATTTTCTCCACAGAAGAAACACCCCAATCGTCTAGAGAGGTACACGCAACTTACTTCAGCATGAAAGCCTTCAGAGTTTATGGACAGACTGACGAGAACAACAATCCTGAACCTGTAGGAGAGGGTGATGGAGAAGAGGATGATGATGGCCAAAATGATGATTACGATGAAGAAGAGGAAAGCGTTGAGGGTGATGAATTTGTGGATGCTGGAGCCCTGTTGGATGTCATTATGGCCTTTAGAAAATTTTTATTTTGAGGAGGTGGGGTAGTGCACAATAGGCCCCTGTGGCGCGGCCTAAGCTTTTGTCCTTAATGGCATTTTTTTCCTCTTGCATTACTTTTACTTTTATACTTTAAGTAGTTTTGAAACCAGTACTTTTACACTTTTACTTGAGTAAAAAGCTTGAGTTGATACTTCTACAGAAGTCTTTTTAAACCCTAGTATCTATACTTCTACTTGAGTAATGAATATGAATACTTTTGACACCAGTGAAAAGCACACATGTAAAGTCAAATTAGTTTTAAAAGCACACATTTACATGCACTCTCCATGCAAACATGTGCATGCTTGAGCCCGGTCTCATGAAAATGCATATCACTAGCACGACTTTTTTTTACATACTGTTTATATGCAGAAACTGACTTTGGCGTGCATAGGATACGCTTTTTTTTTTGCGTGCATATATGGATTCTTTAATGGGGATTAGCTGGATAAAAAGATTTGCTAAGAAAAAATATATAATGTTCCATTGTCTAAGATGTTCAAAGTATTCTATATTTTGGCATTGATCTATTTGAAACACAATACTCAATATATATAATGTTTTTACTAACCGTATTGCTTCAGATTGTGTGGGATTACTGAATTCCTGATTCAATGGAATAAAGTTTTCCTCGTTTCCACGCGCTCGACGTTCCTCGTTCCATTTGGTTAACTCCAAAAGTCCAGATAATCCCTTCAATCCTCACAAAAGCGAAGCAGCAACCTTCTGTCTAACACGTACCGAATAAGACACCTCCAGTTAATTCATATTTCTGTGATTCCTTGAATTGAGCGGCAGTGTAGTAAATATTACCGGCGCATTAGAGGCGCAGGACTGTAATCCCATAATTGCATTAAACTCCAGCGGGAGAATCAGAGGCACATACACATATTGCCGTCTGCTGCCCTCCATCTCCTCCTCCCGGACACCGGAGCCGTTAACGGGAGAGTTACGCGAGGTGACGGATGCACGGGATTTAAACGTCAGCTCTTAGATACCGTAACCGCGCAGTTGCAGTCCAAACACACATGCATTAATTAGTGTCTTTGTTATATATTATATAAATATATCACACACAAACGTTGAAACCATATACAAGAATGTATGCCTAAAAATGTACCCAATTGAGATCATAATAGACATGTTTTTGATCTGATTCCTGAAATATACTTTTAATTCCAAATTATAATAAAATGCATTTGTTGTAAAACATTTTTATTATTCAGCATTATTTAGCAAAGTAATGTGTTAAACCTATAAAACACACATCATGATACAAGGCACACACAAATATTGCCGTCTGCTGCCCTCCATCTCCTCCTCCCGGACACCGGAGCCGTTAACGGGAGAGTTACGCGAGGTGACGGATGCACGGGATTTAAACGTCAGCTCTTAGATACCGTAACCGCGCAGTTGCAGTCCAAACACACATGCATTAATTAGTGTCTTTGTTATATATTATATAAATATATCACACACAAACGTTGAAACCATATACAAGAATGTATGCCTAAAAATGTACCCAATTGAGATCATAATAGACATGTTTTTGATCTGATTCCTGAAATATACTTTTAATTCCAAATTATAATAAAATGCATTTGTTGTAAAACATTTTTTTTATTCAGCATTATTTAGCAAAGTAATGTGTTAAACCTATAAAACACACATCATGATACAGGAAAAAAAACATATAATCAAGTCAATAAACAAAGTTTAATAATGGTTTTCAGCTCTAACAACAGTGCATTTTTTCATGTACTCCTACAAAAGTAATTTCAAGTTTATTGACCATATAAAAATACATTCTGTACCAAACTCTGAGGTCATTATATGTAAACACACTTCAAGCATTAAACATTGTCATAAAATAAAAGGCATGTTTTGCAGTAGTATGACACTGAATCGTGAAAAACACAGGAGCTCAGTACATAACGCGGTATTTATCCCGTCACCTGCTCACTTCTTGGTTGTGCGATGCAAAAATAAAAGTATTATATAAAAACATGCAGTAAGATGCAAAACGGCGGTTGTACAAAAGTCTTCATAAAAGCAGAAACAAAAGACCAAAATAAATTCCTCCAATCTGTCATTTTTTCCCCACCTAACTTGCCTTGATGACGGCAGGTAAATGCTAATTTGTTGAAGGTTAAAGTAAAGGATGAAGACTTTAAATACTGGCAGATTTTGGAGTGGCATACTGTCATACAGCTCAAAAATACACAATAAACTTATTAAACATCCGAGATAAGTGGCCAACACTTGCTGAATTTAATTGTTTGAAGGTTTGAAACCTTTGTGAATCATTTGTCCTGATCTCAGATCAATTAAAAAAAAAATTTAAAAACACATTTATATAATAAAAATTGTACTATATGGAGAGATATTTGATTTGTTGATTGCATTTAGACTGTAGTTTGCAACTGGTTTAGAAAAGGTGTTTTATGCATATTTGGCCGTAGTTTTCTTCGCGTTTACGTGAGTTGTTTTGAGCGCTCTGGAAAAAATGTGAATCATTTTGCAAAGCAATTGGTTCAAATGATTCAAAAAAGCTTATCATTTCACCATTAAAAATGCATAGTTATGATTAGAAATGCAATATGCTGCATTTGTCGTCACATTTTGCATTTGCAATTGATGCATGCAAATAATGTTTCTTTTTAAAGTACTTAAAAAATATATTTTGGAAGGTTTATAGTGTATATTGTGCAGTATTCTAGTATTTCATTCCAAATATAGCTTTAATTGTAATGCTGCCTTCAAGTCACATCAGTATGACCACATTTATGCCACCCAAAGTCGAAAAGTGTCAGGACAATTAAAGAATCAAGGTGCAAGCAAATAGTTTTTTTGATTATAAGACGTTTTAACTGTTAACAGCACAATTTAGTTTGTGTGCATTTGTGTACTGGTGAAGAACTACAAGATAGTTGGTTTTTGAGGCAAGAGGCTTGTGCAACAAAACTACTGTACATTTCTCATCGTTCTCTGCAGCAGCACATAAATGATGAAACGCACAGATAAAGCCTCCGTTACACACACACACTACATTTGCATCACTTCTCGTTCATTCGGTTGCACTAGTGGTAACATCTGCCTGGCTTTTTGAATATAAAGAAATATGAAAATGACTAAACGTGGTTTAGTGACTTCTGGTTTTCTAGGTAACAACTTGAAGGCAGCACTACACTCTTATTTGACCATGCCTGTCATTCAGTCTGTCTTATGCGTGTTGCTGCTCTGATCGCTGCCCTCTAGTGGTGCGGAGAAGAGGTGTTTTATGCATATTTGGCCGTAGTTTTCTTCGCGTTTACGTGAGTTGTTTTGAGCGCTCTGGAAAAAATGTGAATCATTTTGCAAAGCAATTGGTTCAAATGATTCAAAAAAGCTTAATTTCACCATTAAAAATGCATAGTTATGATTAGAAATGCAATATGCTGCATTTGTCGTCACATTTTGCATTTGCAATTGATGCATGCAAATAATGTTTCTTTTTAAAGTACTTAAAAAATATATTTTGGAAGGTTTATAGTGTATATTGTGCCGTATTCTAGTATTTCATTCCAAATATAGCTTTAATTGTAATGCTGCCTTCAAGTCACATCAGTACGACCACATTTATGCCACCCAAAGTCGAAAAGTGTCAGGACAATTAAAGAATCAAGGTGCAAGCAAATTGTTTTTTTGATTATAAGACGTTTTAACTGTTAACAGCACAATTTAGTTTGTGTGCATTTGTGTACTGGTGAAGAACTACAATATAGTTGGTTTTTGAGGCAAGAGGCTTGTGCAACAAAACTACTGTACATTTCTCATCGTTCTCTGCAGCAGCACATAAATGATGAAACGCACAGATAAAGCTTCTGTTACACACACACACTACATTTGCATCACTTCTCGTTCATTCGGTTGCACTAGTGGTAACATCTGCCTGGCTTTTTGAATATAAAGAAATATGAAAATGACTAAACGTGGTTTAGTGACTTCTGGTTTTCTAGGTAACAACTTGAAGGCAGCACTACACTCTTATTTGACCATGCCTGTCATTCAGTCTGTCTTATGCGTGTTGCTGCTCTGATCGCTGCTCTCTAGTGGTGCGGAGAAGAGCTGCAGTTTGCTGCGCAGCTGCCGGCGCAGGTAAGTGCAGTCCTGGGTGTCCAGCGAGTGAGCGAGGATCAGGTAAACGGACAGGTACACAGCCAGCAGGAGCCGGTCCAGCGGGAACGTGGGGAGGAGCCAGAGCACCGTGAGCAGCTCCACACAGACGGGATGCCTGAGGTGAGAGTAAAGCCGCTGCGCGCGCTCAGACTTCAGCAGGAGAGGGTCGCCCAGACCCAGACACTCATAATACACCTGACAAACACAGAGGAGAGATGACTTACAATGTGCAAATTAGTGAAAAAATAAATGCTATATGGAATATAAAGTGCAAAATATGCAATTTGGTGCAGATGCTGATATTTAAATCAATTCTTATGCTTGTAATGTAAATCAATGAGATGTTTCTAACAGTAGAGCAGATACTGACATAAAATGATCTAAATATCAGTCGTCTCTATATCTCCAATAATATGTCTCCGTAAGAAGAGATTGAAATGCTCCAAACATATAATGCAGTGATCGAGAGCTGAAGAAATAAAGGCTCCTCAGAAGATGTGAGATGTTCTGGAGGCTTGTGAAGATCATTCCTCC